TACGATTAAATTTAAATATGTCATTATAACATACAAATATACAAACTAAAATTGTTTGTGTGTGTTAGGTTAATTACCTAAGTTATTAATATTGTAAGAATAAATTCAAAATAATAACAATAAAAATTAATTTACATACCCAGATTCAATCAAATACTGTATATAAATCTCATATGCTTCTCGTTGAACAGTGACAGACTGTGTACTAATCAATTTAATTATGTCTTCTAGTACAGTTGAGCGATTTTGGAAACAAATATTTTGGACCGCAATAATAATCTGAAATTGGTAATGAATTATAATTTAATTTTGAAAAAATTGATCATGTATTTAAATACTTACTATAGTTGGTGTAATATTTGTAAATGAAAAATTATAACTCTTTAATATTAATTTACTGGTAAGTAAACTCTTCACTTCTACTATATCTTTAATAGTCTCAGTATTCAAATCAGTGTGTAGTGTTTCATCACAAAGTTTTACCATAAGTTCGGACCAAGGTATACTAGCTGCTTTCAAAATGCTTAAGGCTGAATCAGATTTGGTCTGTAAAAATAATTTGAAATAATTTATATTTTATATTTTTTTTAAAGAATTTTTTAAAGAATTACCTCTTTGTTAGATATGAAATTAAGTATTAAAGTTGCTTTTTCTTCCCATGACCACCAACAATCAACTTGACTAACAATATTCTAAAATATAAATTTAAATGATTGTAAACTGTAGTCTAATAAGTTTGAATTTTATTTAGTAATTTAAAAATGTATTTATTTTTACTTTAATATAAGCACATAAAATTTCATCAGAATTTAAGAATCGCTGTTGTGTAAATGTTGACCAAAATGTTGTAATAAAATCAGAGAATGTATTCATTTGTATTTGATCTAAAATTAAGAATGACAACTCTGAATAATTTTTATCTTCATGAGATAATTCATAATCATCCAAAGTAATCTTAACGCCAAAATTATCATTCAACTCCTTTAATTCAGCTAAGTATTTTATCAGTAAGATCAATTTCATTTGAGGTTCGGTTGGTCGTGAAATACTTAGGCATAAAGGAGATGAAACAATTTGATTGATGATACTTAGAAAATAACGACAAATTTCTAAGCTAGGATTGATCCAATCTAAATGTAAATATAATTCATTCCATCTAAAAAAAGATGTTAAAATCAAATGTAAAAATTAAATTTAAAATATAAACTAAAAAAGTTATAAGTCAATTAAACATACCTAACTTTACTTTCTATATAAGAAACCATAGAAGCAACTGTTTCATCATAATACATAAAAAGAGTTGTGGAAGCAAAACTCATCACCCACAATTTTAAGTCATAAATATTTACAGAAAACGGTGTGCTTGAAAAATATTCATTTATAAATTCATCGTTAATGCAATTTTTAATTTCTGCAATATGACGACTCCAAACTGTTAATGCATCACTTAACTGATTCTAAAAAAAAAAAAACAAAACAAATTAACCAATTACATTTAAAATCTTTATTTATTATTATGAACTTTTATACCCAACAAGTATAAGTTATACATCTCTAAAATTATAGTAAATATAATATTATAAAATATATACTTAGCTTAAATATAATACATAAGTTAATTATTATTACTTATAGGTATAGAACACACTAATATATTTTTAAATTTGATAATATTGATTTAATATGAGTGTTTTAGTATCCAAAAATAAATGTACTAAATAATGTATATATGAGGTGTGATCAAAAAATACCCGGATTTTTCAAATAAAATTGTATTAACACAATATAATTGTAAATACACATTATCACCTTCAAAATAATCTCCCTGGGAAGCAATACACCGCTGCCATCTTCTTTTCCACTTTTGAAAACATTCCTGGTAGGCACTAATTGGAATGTCCTTAAGATCAATTTCCGTATTTTGTTTAAAAACGACGTCTTTTGAGCGTAGATTTTAACTTCGGAAATAAATAAAGTTGCACGGAGCCTGGTTGGGTCAGTATGGAGATTGTGGAACTACTAGAGTTTGATTTTTGGCTAAAACCCGAATGAGCAATGAGCAGTGAGCCGGGGCGCTATCGTGATGCAACATCCAAGAACCACTTTTCCAACTTTCTGGCCTTTTTTTCCTAACATTTTCACGTAATCTTTTCATGACTTCTAAATAAAAATGCTGATTTACTGTTTGTCCTTGAGGCACCCATTCACGATGAACTGTACTACAAAAATGTGATTAACATGGCTTTCACCTGCCTTCCTTTTTTTGGTCTAGAAGAATTCGCTGACTTCCACTGTGATGATTGACGCTGGGTTTCAACATCATACCCGTAAACCCAAGTTTTATCACCTGTTATAATATTTTTTTAAAAAGTCTAGGTCACTTTCTGCTCTTTTAAAAAGTTCTTGAGCAATAGTCTTTTGGTTTTGTTTTTGTTCATCGGTTAGAGGCGAGGAACAAATTTGGCTGCGGTTCGGCTCATGCCCAATTCTGTGGTTAATATTGCTTGGCACAAACCATAAGATATTCCGGTCTTCTGCAACTTCTCTGATAGTTAATCGACCATTATTTCGAATAATTTCACGAACACGAGCAACAGTTTCATTTGTTTTACTGATCGAAGGTCTACCAGGTCGTTCCTTATCCTTAACGGATGTTCTACCTTCCTTAAATCGTTTAAACCACTCAAAACATGTTATTCGAGACAGGACATCATCTCCAAAAGCTTGCTGCAAAAGTTCAAGAGTTTTACTAGAAATTTTCCCTAATTTAAAACAAAATTTCACGAGCACACAATGTTCTTCTATTCCTTCTATTACAAAATTTGCCACACGACTGAAACATGCTTTTGTAGAAATGCCATAAAATAAAAATAAATATTGTTATCGATTTAAACCAATCCTCAAATCCTAGTTAGAAGTTACTTTATCGAATGACATTATCGGGGTTTCATTATCTTAATTGATATAAATATTATTAACATAGTCCCGGTATTTTTTGATCAAACCTCATATATTATATAATAAATAATATATAAATATTTACTTTTTGTATAAGGTCCAAACAAATGTCGTTGACATTTTGTTTACAAAAAGAAATCCATAGTTCTGTATTTTCAATAGACCAATCAGATACATCATGCAAAAGACAAAAAGTATCCAATTTATGAAGTGTACTTTGCAATTGATCAAGTAAAAATAATAACTTATTTTCTAATCCTTGTGATGAGGATTTTACTCTTAATAATGCATACCTTAAAAGTTTTCTACATAAAGTAAAACTAGGTACAATTATATTGAGAGCACAATTACCAACAAATGTGTGATCCTGTATAAAACAATTACCTTTTAATTAGTTATGAAATTATTTTGGAAATGCATGATTCAATAATTTACTTTAATTTTATTTAAGTAATCCATCATTTCATCAAATGTTTTTTGGATGCCCTTAGTTCCAGGCTGCCATACATCTAATTTTCCCATAAGTCCTTTAACTTGTTCTTTATATACTGTTTCTGGATCAAGATTAAAAGCAGCTGCAAAATTTCGAGCTTCATCATATTTGCCTCGTCTTAACATTCTTGCCAAACGTAAGTCGGGTTGACCTTCAGATATAAGTTTTACATGTAATGTGTTTATATCTTCATCTCCATGTGCTTCTAAATACAATATGCCATCAGATGTGCTTGGATAATCAATAAGATATGTTAAAGATGATGTTGGAAGCTTGAATGTTACACTAAAATCTGTTTCAAACAAACATATATTTTAGTTTTAAGTTAACATATTAGTTATTAATAATAACTTATTACTATAGATGCAATAGGTGCAAAAGGGTCTTTACAAGGTGGGTTCTTAATGGACTAATTCCTCCTGAAATTGACATTTATTTATTTAAAAAATATATATTTCAGGCTAGGTTGTATATTTTGAGATACTCTTGAACCAATTTTATTTAAATGATAAAATAAGAAAACTGAAGAACTAACAACCTTTCCTGTTAAATCTATAATAATTAATTAGACGTTTTGCATTCCTTACTATATTTTTAATACTAGCAATATACATAATTTCATTCAACATAGTTTTTTCAGATAAATAATTATAAAAGATACATCAAAACTAAAAAGAACTATTAATAATATTATGATGATTGATCATGAAAATGTATTTAATTGTGAAGAAAAAATCTGATGTCATTCACTGTTTCAAAAAACAATGATCATATTAATTAATCATTTGTATTGTAATACTCCACAGCTATGGGTGAGTATATTATAAATGGGCATAAAGAATATTTTGAAATGAGTCAGTCTTGAAATCAAAATATTATTTTTAAGATTTTAGAACAATTGCTCAGGGGCAAATTTAGGGGGGGGGGGTCAGGTGGGTCAGCTGACCCACAGTTAATATTTGCTAATCAAATTGGCCTCTTTTCAGATCTTGGGTAGTTAGATACTTGGACCTTCAAATAAAAACACATATGTACAGTATAAATGAATTTTTTTGTTTTATATACCTAGAACACAAGTATAGATTTCTAATCTGGTTTTAATAAGTGGCCCTTTGAAATATCCTGACAAACAGTTTCCAAACTCTGGAACCTCTCCTACAATTGTGTTTGTGCTTTGTTACCAATGGTTAACAAAACAAAAATATAAGTATATTAAACCCCAATGTTGTCTAAGTTTTAAAAGATGCCTTAAAGTAAAACAATGTTCTTCTAAAATTATCTTATAACTTTTATGCAAGAATGTTTTATTTTAACATTTCTTTCATGTTAATTTTGCTTATTTTTACCAATTTTTATTTTTTAATATACCAAAACTTACTACATTTTGTGCCGGATATTATATATTTGCCTTTTGTACATTATTCACATATATTTTACTACTTAATTGTTACTATACATGTAACTTTTGTATATATGGGTGAATGTTAGATCAATACTTATTACTTCAATACTCAAGTCATATTATGATATTAAGGAATAATATTTAAACATGGATACATTAATAAAGGATGTATATGATGTTTTAACTAATAAAACTGAAAATGAATTACCTTCACAAGATAAACTTGTAAAATATCAGAACACATATAGATTGGAATCAAAAAACCCATTCAATGAAAATAAAGCTTTGGCCGTAATAAAAAATGAAACAATGAAACATTTGAATAATGAAACTAGATATGATCCAGATGAAGCATCAAGAATCTCTGCAACTATGTCACTCAGTATTAGAGATGAAATTTGTGACTTGGATTTTGAAAGGTAAAATAATTAGGTAAAATGATTTAGTTTTTAAAAAATATTTGTACCAATTACCTACTTATATAGACATATAGTAATCATATAGTATTGGCCTTTTAAATTATCTTAATTATTGTGGAACTATCAATTGTTCTAAATTAATTGTAAGTATTAGACAATATAAAAACTTAATTAAATACATTTTGCTCAAATAAATTCTTGACCTAGCTAATTCTAGTAGTTATAACTTATTTGTACATAAAAATGATCCGATCAATTTTAGATTCTGAGTGGAACGATGAATGTATTGATTTTACAATGATGTGTTTTTTTTTTATTTTATTTATAATGGAATAAGAATAGTAACATCAATCAGGAGTATTTAAGTGGGATAGGAAATATACCAGGGGGCTCCAAGTACTTTCTGAGACATTAAATTCTATTTATTTCTCATAGATTCTGAGCTGAGAGATTGTTGTGATTGTATAATATTATTAGTGGGTACTTGAAACTTCTAAAGTACACTATTACATATCTATGATGGTATCAGGGCTTGTTGTGGATGTAGAACGCGTTATAAGTACCTAATGGATATTGTGATATGATTAATTTGGAATTTATTATAGGTTAGGTCATAGGTCATAGGGCAATTTTTTTTTAATACCATAGTTAAGTATGTCTTATACCTAGACTGACATACCGTCTCCGCTTAAAATCGTTTTTCTTATACAATGATATTATATCATTGAATTCAAATTTAATACCATCCATTATACAGTGACCCACTTGTAACCTACTGTACAGCAGAGCACTTTTTTTTTAATTGTTTGCATACTTTTTCATGTTTATTTTAAAATGCAATACCAATTTAAATAACTACCAAGCAATGACTTTGAATTTTTTAGTAGAAGTGTGTTCAACAAATTTTTTTATAATATAATATATTTATCTATACTCCATTGAACAACATAGATTATAGCTAATTTAGACCTCTCCTTTTCTCTTCCTTAAATATGCATTTGTTAATTTGAATATTTTTTTTTCTCTTCTTTTTTATTATTTAAAAAAAAAAACTACCGACTATGAAATAATTTTTTTTTACAACAGCTGTTGGTCATTAATTGATAAATAAATAAATAATGTTAAAGTAATAAGCTAAGACAAACATTTATTAGTTTTTCAACTATGATTTATTTCTTCTTTAGAAAATCTAATATTGTTGATACTTTGGAGAGGTAATTTTTTCAAGTGTAATATTGATATAATATTATTGTTACTATGGTACCCAGTGGCGCACACTCAAAAATAAATAGGGGTTGCAAATTGATTCGGTTACCTCTATATTGGCTAATAGACTAATGGCTATAGCCTATAATTATTCAATAGTTTATTTTCAATATTTTTATACGTAATAGAATTTTCATGATGTAAATATTTTGGAGCCAGGGGGTCCACCCACCCACCTACAAAAAAAATGAGGGGTAGCAACTGCTATCCTTGAACCCTCCAGTGTGCGCCACTGATGGTACCTAATTACAATGTGTTTACTCAATAGAACCAGCTGATTTATTATTGAGTTAACTGCAAATAGTGGAGATCTCTGAAATTTTCTACTTTAAGGAGCAACCCTGTTTTGACCATTTTAATTGGGGGTTGAACTTGTAGCAAAAAACTATACCATGCTACTAAGTATATTTCCTAAACAAGCAAAATCTATGAATCGTAAATATGGTTTTATTAATAAGTAACTATGATATTGAAAACCTAATGTAAAATTGGTCAGAAACAAAAAACGAGTATCCACCCCAAAAACATATTTATGATAAAAAACTTGAACAATTTTAAAAACCCCAGCAAACAATTTTTATACCTAATAAAGGTAGGTATAGTAATAAAAAATAATTATTTTAATTTTTGTTTCAGGTATAAAATTGTCTGTATAGTTGAAATTGGAGAGAAAAAATGTCAAGGAATAATGTCCATAGCTAGATTTTTACGTGACTTCAATAAAGATAAATATGTTTATAGCAATTTTGAAAATCATAATTTGTTTGCAACTATTATGGTGGGGGCATTTTATTATGAATAAATTAAGTATAACTTTACTACACATAAAACCAAAATTATTCACATTTTAATTGTTTTAAGAAAAAAGATTTAAAATATACCTAAACGCTGTTTATTAATTAATATTAAATTACCTGGCATTGAAACTAGCATCAATGAAGGCTGTATTTCGTCAGTTAATAGAAGAATACTTGTAGTACCCATTTCTTGCATCACAGTAAAATCACTAATAGGCACCTTATTCCATTCTTTGACTGGTAAAAATGTAAATGCACATACCAATAACATAGTTTTTGAATCAGTTAGGCAGATGATGAAACTGTAATAATATATTTAAATAGTAATAACAAATTAACAAGCTTAAAAAAAAAAAACAGAACGGTATAAAATTATATTGTTAAATAAATACTATAAAGAAACAAATTTATACTACTAATTTTTGTATAGGCTAAACAGAATGACATTATAATTTTAAAATGTCTGAATTCATTCAAAGCCATGCTGTATACATTTTCAACAATTTAATTATTAGGTCAAAGGAGATTGGAGAAGGAATTGTAAATTATATAACGACTATAATAAATTAAGTAAATAGTTTTGCTTACCTTTTATCTTGAGTGAAAATGAGTTTTTTAATTTTACAGTTGTCTGGGAATAAAAATTCCTTAGACCTCATGTTTTCTCCTTCATATAGACAAATGCTGTCACCAGCTATTAAAATATTATCATACATTCCACACACCGTTTTTACCTATTTAAGTTAAATATGTAAAGTTATTAATTGCGCATGAAACATTTATTGCGTCAACTTACATTTTCGTGGATATCGAATACATTCAAAGTTATAAGATGTTCTATGTTTTTAAAATCATTATCAAGAACAGATTTTTCTATTAATTCCTGGACATTGGCACAAATAAATCTTAAAATAATTAAAATTAATTATTTATTTAATATACTTATACGGGAGATTTAAAATGAAAAATTTTAAATTGTTACTTTGATCTATTTATTACATACTTATTGATAAATCCAGATGACGTGGTAACTGTAATATAGAAATGATTTTCTTTATGAGAAAAGAAGAGACCTACAGGTGATTCCATTTCCGAGGGCAAGCAACGGGGATTTTTTGATACTTTCCTGGAATTAAAATGACATACTATAATATATTATAACCATTAACTATAATTTTAGTATTTGAAAAATTGTAAATTGTATATTTTAATTTTGTTAAAAATATAATATTTTATTAAATGTAATACCTACTTAGTATTTACCATCAATACTTAATTGTAGATACATGAAAAAATGTTATATTATTAATTTTTTTATTATTTGTACCTGATTTTAATTGTAAACAAGTACAATTCATTAATAACCCTTTCACTGCTGCACTAAATTTTCCAACATAATGTACTATGCTGGTTTAACATTTTATTTTTATAATTTTTTTGTTTTGTGTTGCATATTGTTATAGTTAAGTATAAATAATTTTTTTTTAGTAGATATTAGTTTTTAATTTTTAGTGTCTGGATTTGTCTAACCATATGTTCATATTATCACATTAACTAAAACAGATATTGTTGAATTTTAAAAAGATAGGATGTTTATTTGCGTTCGTAGCACCACAGTTGCTTACGTTGGAAGCATTTTATTTCTATTATCAGTAATCATGAAGCTGTAATTATGTTTTAGTATAAAAAAATTAAAAATTATGAGTTTGAATAAGACTTAATTAATTTGGTTTGTGAAAATTTAATTTTACTTGAGCAAATAATATTACCAATACAATATTCAATTATACTTAGAATATTTTATTTAGATGTAACTTCTAACCTGATGGCTATAAATAAATAATTTTTAAATAAAAAAATATTATTTTTATTTGGTTATTTACATTTATTAGTTTTATTATTATTAACTTTTATACTTAAATATAAGTATTAATATATACTTGATAAATAAAATCCTTGGGTTTGTAAACGAACAACAGTATATAGTCCAATCATCTAATAATACTATTAAGTAACAGCCATCATCTGACATTTTAGCATCCACTATTTGATTAGGAAATCCAAATGTCTGATTGATTTCTGTAATGCTGGTATTAAATGAGGTATAAGATTGGCCTCCTGAAATGTACATCAAATCTGGTGTACACATAGCACTGATTCTTAGGTCTTCTTTGGATACACATTTTACATCACATGTTCTTTTAATTGTGGCCAAAGTGGTTGTTTCAAATATTCTGCTGTCGCCAATAGCTACAGCACGAGTACCAAAATTTATAGTCTCGTCAGCTGAACTATAACCGATTGTTATACCGTTCCACATTATGAAATATTATTATCCCAATAGATCTAATAGAACATAAACATTTTTTAATTTTTTAATTAATATATCTTTTAAAGAAACGTATTGGGTACTTACGTGTAATACAAAAGTTATAGAAGCATTTTTCTGAATTATTTTATCAACATGCCTTACGTTCTAATCTGTATTCAATATTGTGTATAATTTGTAGTTTGTACCTTACTTTTAGTAAACTTGTCTATAATGTCAAATAATAATTAATAATTAATGATAAATCTAATAATAATTTATTGTATGATCTTAAATTGGGATACATAATAATATTGTAATTTTTTTTTGAACCATAAATTAAGAAATATATCTTATTATATAATATGCTAAATACCAACCTACTTGCTTATTATACTTGAATGCTGTATGTAATTAATAGCTATTGTTATAAAATCTATTGTATGTATACAATATACTTCATATAATATTTTAATTCAATATCAATCATCTTCCGTAAACATTATTTATCTCTGAAGAATGGAATTTTGGCGCTAAAATTTATCATTAAATCAACAAAGAATATCATGAGAGAAAATCATAGATAAATATACCTATGGAGAAAATTAATTTTTTTTATGTTATCAATTACCTCATATTATGGCGGCAAATTGTTAAACACTGATAAACGATAACAGAATACAGAATTACAGAAATTCGAATTTTAAATTGACTATAATAATATAATCGCTATATTCAGTATGAATGTTTAGTATTTCTATTTTTGTAAGAACTTAACGCTTGTGGTCGTATACTCGTATTTATTCTTATTTTTTAAAGTAAATCAATATTATACAATATATTAAATTCATCACATATATTTAATATCACTGAACTAAATAGGTACATCATTTAGTTCAGTCTTTTGTGTTTAATAAAATTTGTCTGTGTAAGATGAAATGATGCAATGTATAACTGCATTTTGTGAAAAAAGTGAAAATTAAATACATATTGATTTTTTAAAGTCAATGTTTTTTGTCAACTTGTTTGTTTTCTTTTATATGTAACTATGTAAGTATATACTTATGTTGACTATGCGTTGATGGGTTGAAAACAATAAACTTAATTATAATACTGTTTGTCGTATACTTAAATTATTTTAAATGAATTTTGTTCATGATTCACATTAGATTTTCAAAACCATGTCTAGAAATCAAATAACTGTACATCCAGTTGATGGGAATGAAGTAAAAGGTGCTAAGAACATTTTGACTCATGTACCACATTACTATTTGCCTGGCCTAAATACATATTTGCTTAGTAACATCAAGAACAGCAATGAAGCTATTCAGTATTATTCTACACCTGATCGTTTCAACCTACCAGTACCATGTATTACATTTTCAGACATTGAATCGAGTAATATTAATTACTAAATAAAAACAACTACTTGTTGGAGTGTAATTATTATTTATAACTATATTTGTTTTTATAATTGCAGAAATTAATGCAGTTTTAGATATGGTCAATTTAAAAGTACAATGGAAACGTGGAAATAAAAAACTATTAAGATCATGTCAAAAAAAATGTATTATCACTGGTTTATAAGTTATTGAAATTAATAGTTCTTACAAAAATTCTTCATTTTATTATTTTCAGTAAGTTTTAAGACTTTAAATGACATAAAAACAAAAGTAAATACGAATAAATCAACAATGTATTCAACAATTCCAAATATCTTGTCTCATTTTACGTCAAATTTGATGGAAAACCCTGATCAATATTTTGATTCCGTAAGTAATAGGTACAACTCATCTTAACATAGTAAATTATTGTAATAAAAATAATTTGACTGTTTAATACTATTAATTTTTCATAAGCCTATTTTAAAAAAAAAAATTTCCTTCCATAAAATTTTTCTACTAAAATGTTGTATAATTTTTTATTTCCTATTTATTTAATTTTAGGAATATAATTGGTATTTTAGCAATACTATTGAAAAATTTCAAATTAATGGAAAATGGTTGTTAGCTTGTGCCAGAGGAGTAAACCTTGATATTTTAGGTAATTATGTGTGTGTGTGTGTGTTCCTATAACCATAACAAGAATACAATATGGTAAGGGTAATATTTATGTTTTTTTATTTACAGATATTTTTTCTATGCCTGGTTGTTTTTACTTAGATTTGTTAATATTTTGTAACCATTAAGATACATAATGTTAAACTTTTATAGTTTTTTCCTTAAACATTAATTTTACTGTTTTAGATATAATATCGATTGATAATAATACATTTGAAATAATTCAAAGTAAAAAAGACGCATGTTATAAGGATCCAATTTTTGATATAAAATCTTCAAACTTAAATGGTAATATTGTAAAGCTTATACAGCTATATAATCATAATAATTTTATATTATCATCAATCCCAACTTTTTTAACTAATATAACTTAAGAGTATTTTAACACGTTGACTGCCATGTGCCCGCCTGCGATCATCTGTAATTCTCAAATTGTATACTTTTGTAGTTTTGTGACACCCGGCGCGCCCATAGTTGATCATTACTACCACGCCACATGACCACCGGGGACCATAAATTAATATGGTTTTAAATTATTGAATTTTCCATCGTGCTACAATAATAAGTAATAAAGTACAAAAAAGAACACAGTGGTGTAGCGGGAATAATTACAATTTATTTGATGTAATAAACATATTATTTTTAAATACAATAGTATTATATCCTACAAATCCTACTAATTAGGAATAACGTGGAAAAATATATTTCTTGTATCAATAATACATAATATTGTGTGTGACAGTCAACGTGTTAAGTAAAATTATTATTTATAAATGTTTGTGTATTAAATTTTACTTTTTTAGAATTAATGATTCGGCATAAAACCAAATTATCTATATATCGGAATAATTCTGATTTAGAACATTTATTAAATAACAATTCAGTTTATGATAACTGTGATATACCGTTTGCTGATGCTGATGTAATAGCTAACAATTTTTGTACTGCTGATGTGAAACATATAATTAAATTATGGAAAGACGGGTAAATATGTTTTAATAATATTTACTATTTTAGCTAAATCATAAAATAAATAATAAAATATAAGTACACAAAAATTTTTATTATTGTTTAAAGAAATTGTATTCAAAATAAATACTTTGACGTGGTGTATGATCAAACTGATTCGTTTATACATTTAAGTTATTTACAAAATGAATCTAATTTAATTGGCATTATCAATAGACAAAAATTCTACTTAATAGATGCTCGGGTAATGTATAATTTATAACTCTAAATTTAACAGTTTATACTAAAGTACTATCTTATAAAAACATAATATCAGGGCTCAAAAGTTTTTTAAAAACTGGTTTAAACCTAAGTTTCTTTATTTTCCAACATTGTTACCACAACCAAAACCAACAGCTCTCAAACGCTGGTTTATACCTTTAGAATTTAAAAAAACTGTTTGCAAAACTGACCTGTACATATTAATATTGGTGACTTCCAATTTTTTTAATTATTAACAATATTTACAATTCTAGTATTATGAGAATATTATGTTTGATTTTATTAATACAAATCCTGATGACATTAAAAAATATAATTTATTGCCATTTTATAATTTAAAGAACCATAATTGAAATCTTAAAACTAAAAAAAAAAAACTATTCACAAAACCTAAACTAAAACCAGAAAATTTGAAACTGTTTCGAGCCCTGTAAAATATAATATGTAGTTGTTATTGTTGTTAATTTTATTTACTTTTCAGATTGATATCTCTAAGCCTTGCTCTGTTTATGACCCAAATACTATTATAGAACTATGTGAAGAATTAACAACATTAAAAAGTAGTAATTTAAATAGTCATAGTATTTATGTAACTTCCAACCATTCGGTTTTAACATTTGACAATCGAATGGGATTTGTAAATAAATCATATCACATGCTTTCAAATTCTCCATCCCTAATTAACATACACCGTTATGAAAACAAGTGAATATTTAAGCTTAAGTATATATATATTATATTAATTATTTAAATTTAAATACATTTTTTTAGTTTTGATTCAAATGAAATGTTGTTTTTGGGAAACCAAACTGGTGAAAGCCTTGTTTATTTACCCTACACTTCATATCCAGATGGCTTTCTATCGTGTCAAAGCATTGCATCATCAATTCCAAATCCATTACAATCATTACATAACGTACAACTTAAAGGGTGTTGCTTAAATCCTACATTATTGGATAGATTTGCACGGTGTTTAACTGGTACTACTGTTTTTGGTGAACATATTAAAGATTTAAAACTATTCAGTATTAATTCTGCTGGAGATTTATTTGTTCAAAAAGTAAATGATAATACACCAATAGATATATCTGAATTTAATAAAAATGTTACAATTAAATCTCAAACTGTTCCAAAGCTAAATTATTCATATAAGTTTGATATGAGTAACCTTTGGCAATTAGATCCACCAGACAAACATGAGGAAATTAATATTAAAAAGGATAATGTTTGGAGTATGTCAAAAGAAAAGATGACATCATACATAGACCACCTTGCTCCAATAATATTATCCCCTTGGGATATAGATGAATTATCTGAATGGGAGAATGAAGATGAGAATAATGATGCCAATGATGATTCTGATTGTGACTATGCAACTAAAGTTAATTTTTGGTTCAATAAAAATGACACACTGTTGAGGTCAACAGAAACTTTAGAACCAAACACTGATCATCCGCCAATTAATATTTTTTCTCAAGCTTCTACTGCAAAAACTGTACCTTCATCAGAAAATGACAATGATTCCAGTTCAGGTTACTTTTTATTAAAAATATGTTTGATTTTTTTGATAATTGACATTGGTTTTATCTTTGTTACAGGTTTTACAGTTTCTTTAAAATCTGATGACAGTTAATGATCTTAAGCGTAGATATTTTTTTATTAAATTTTATATTATGTAATAATTAAATTATACATTTGTTGTGCAAAAAATAATAGCTAATAAAATTGGAGAAATAATTAAAATATGTGTAATAAATTTGGATCAATTATCAATAGGCTGTCAATGCAAATTAGAAACTGAAAATATTCTAAAACATAGTATCAAACATATGTTGACATTTATTTTGAAATATGTAATTTTAAGTATTTTGTAGGTTTAAAAAATTATGTTTTGTTAATTGATTTAGAACATTGAATTTTTGTACTAATTATGTTATATAAATAACTAGCTGTCCCGCTCGGTGTTTCCTGTACCAAATATTTGTTTTTTTCTTTTAATTAATATATTTGTAAAAAAATGTATATTATTATGCCATATTTCTACTAATTGTAATAGTAATATAATAATTAATAATTAATATGAAACCAATGGCAATCATTTAAATAGTTCACATCATCTGACATGCTATCCTTATGCAATACATGTGTGTCGTGTGATAAATAAATACAATTTTAAATTAAATATTTTCATAGTATACGTATACTATATACCCAGCGCGACGGAAGTGGCGCGAAGCTAAGTAAAAAAAAATAGGGGAGTAGCCACTAACGTACAATAACAGGAAAGCGAGTTTTAACATTGAAAAATCGTCCTAATTGATGTCAATTCTTTGCCAAGCTCTACAGGGCAAACGGCTGAACATATAAAGTCGCATGAGGTATCAATCGATCAGAAATATTTTTCAGATGGGAACAGAGGTACTCGCTAGCAGATTGGTTAGATAGTTTATAACTTATAACTTATAAGCAAAAATATTCAAGTACTTTTAAGACCGATTTTGCTTACGGAACAGTGGGGATGGATAAGCAGTGAGTCGGAGAACGAAAATATCGTAAATATCCCCCGACCCGCCGCTTATCCATTCCCGTCTACTCTTATCGCGGCGGATGCCAGTCGCCGGCAACCATTTACCATTTCGTATTTTCGTGTATTGCTGACGACTGACGACTGACGACCAGCAAGAATAAATATAGATAGAATTATAGATTTTTATAGAAAATGTTTTTAAATTTTAATAGAGCATTGTTGGTAAAGATTAAAAAGTAAATACTTTAGTAACGTTTTTTTTTCGTGTTATAAATATAATGATGTATAATACTATAATTTATTTGCGTTTTCGTTTTTGATTTCGTAATTAATTTTTTTCTGTTTTTGGGATTTTTTATTATCGTTTTTTGTTTTTGTTTTATTAATTGTTTTCGTTTTTTTCCGTTTACTAACGTTTTTTAAAAACGTTTTCCATCCCTAGTTTAAATTATTTATTTTATTTTATCACTGTGGTGTTATTATTGTGTATCTTACCTTTACATTTTTTCTAACGCTGGTGACGGAGTGATTCTTTACAAAAATATAGTACAAATCAATTGTAAAGCGAATTGCCTGTTATATGTTATAATTATCAGTGATAAATAATAATATTGTTTACGGCTGGTGGAATCATTAATCACGATAAAGAAAAATAGCAAAAAAAAAAATAAAATAATAACTACCAAGTCAATATTGAAAACACAAACACATATCAAAAGTAGACAAAACGTGTATTACTAATATGTAAAAAATAAAGAACCTTGGGGGGGGATCTATCCCCCATATCCCCCCCCCGTGAGAACGCCCATGGCCTTTACAGTAATTAATAATGTATCAACAATATATTGACTAAGTATTGAACATTACAATTGATCTTATTTGAGGTCCGTCAGCCTGGCACCCCGAATTCAAAATTTCGAGGTCAAACCATTCTAAAAATTTATAGTAACCAATTCGTAACAATTTGAAAATTCGCACGACCTTCCTACCTCTCGAAAAACCAAAAATTCATGATGGGGGGGCACGCTTAACGTTTTGCAATTATTATAATTATTATAAACAATCTATAATAAATAAAAACCTTAATAAAAAACAGTATTCACTATTCAATAAAATTATAATTTAAGTAGAATATAAAAAACCTTTATTGGAAAAAAAATCTATTTCGACAAAAAACCTTTAAAAGAAATCTATATTGGATAAAAAATAATCTAATTTTTAAAAAAAAATTTGATTGTATACAAAATCTATAAAAAAGCCTTGGTAGAATGCCCGTAGTTAATAAAAAAATAATCAATTTTTAATAAAGAATCTATATTAAATAAAAACCTATATTTGATAAAAGAATCTATATTAAACAAAAAAACCTTAATAAAAAACTGTATTCAATAAAAATGATCTAATTAGAATAGGAAAAAATGTTATTGAATAAAAAATCCTAGTTGATTGAAAAATCTATAAAAAAAAAATCGTGAGTAAAACACCTGTAGTTAATAAAAAATAATCTATTTTTAATAAACAATCTATATTAAATAAAAAACTATATTTTATAAGAAAAACAATATTAAACAAAAAACTTAATAGACAAGTGTATTTAATAAAAAAATAATCTAAGTACAATGGAAAAAAGGTGGGTAAGTGGATGTCGCTCTGCTGTACAGTAGGTTACAAGTGGGTCACTGTATAATGGATGCTATTAAATTTGAATTCAATGATACAATATCATTGTATAAGAAAAACGATTCTGAGCGAAGACGGTATGTCAGTCTAGGTTTAAGGCAATTATATACATATCTATGGTATTAAAAAAAAAATTGACCTATAATAAATTCCAAATTAATCATATCACATTATCCATTAGGTACTTATAACACGTTATACATCAATAACAAACCCTGATACTATCATAGATATATAATATAGTGTACTTTAGAAGTTTCAAGTACCCACGAATAGTATTATACACTCACAACAAAATAACGAAAATAGGTATGCTAGGTTTTTTAATATGTAATTTCGTCCCAAATTTGAACTTAAAATGTCTGTAAAAAATAACTGTGTTCATATATTTTTTAGATTTTTTGGCTACAGTATGAACTATTTATGAGAATCTTTTTATTAAATTTGCAATCCTTAGCTATAAAAACTGAACATTTTATAATTTATTAATTACGATGGTTGATAATTTTCGAGATTTTGATAAATTTTGTCAAAATGCGATCTTTAAATGCTTAAAAAAAAAAATTGTGCCTATGTATTTTTAATATTTTTCAATTGCTATTGTAACAATATATCAGGAGCCTTGTATTAATTTTTTACACTTTTTGGTGCAACAGATAAAACTTTATTGATATTTATAGAAAAAAAAAACTAAAAAAATTGAAAACTGAAAATGTCCGTATGTATCTACAGTAATTCGTTTTTGAATTACAACAAAAAAAGGAAATCGCCACATGAGAAATCGAGTGAATATCCAATGTTGTAAAAATTTGAATTTCAAACGCTCATAAAAATTTAATTTGACTTTCCGGTAGAAATTTTTTTATTGATAAAGGTAGACAATCTTATAAGGAACCTTGTATTACATTTTCATATCTTAGATTTAAAAAGAAAAGTTTTTACGAATTCTTAACTCAAAATAATTTGCTAATTTTCGTGATTTTTCCATATTTTGTCAATTTTTGAACTTTAAATGCTTATAAAAAAAAACTGTGACTAACGATTTTTAATATTTTTCATCTGCCTTTCAAACCATATACTAGGAGCCTTCTATTAAATTTTCAAGTTTTTTTAACCAACAAATAAAATTTAATTGATATTTCTAGAAAAAAAACTAAAAAAAAATGAAAAATGAAAATGTCTCTAAACAGTTCAAAATAAATCAAAATATTTTGAAAATGTTATCGTGTATAGAAAATGCAAATATAAACAACCACTGAAAATTTCATGTATCTACGGTCATCTGTTATAAAGTTATAGCAAAAACCAAATTCAATTTTCTGAAAAATCAATTTTGCGTAAAAATTCCCGTTTTTCCTTCATTTTTCTTTTGTTTTTCTTGGCGCTTTTGAAAAGTACTGGGAATTTTAAATTTTGACCTCCCCAATGCACCAACGATATTCACTTTCCAATCGAACAAGATACTGAAGTCGAAAATCGAAGTATTATTTCGACTACTTATCGTGTACACAGACACAAAAAAATAAAAAATAAATATAAAAAAAAAAAAATAAAAAAAAAAAAAAAAAACACACATCATTGTAAAATCAATACATTCATCGTTTCACTCAGAATCTAAAATCTTGATTGAAGAAAAAATCTATCTCGACAAAAAATTAATTTTTGTTTTTGGAGGGGAGAAGGTCGTGTGAATTTTCAAACTATGCTTGCGAATTCGTGCAAATTACGTGCTAAATGTCATAATATAAAAATTACGAAAATGTTAATTTGGACCTCCAGGGAGGGGGGGGGCTGGCAAAACGTACTTTTCGATATGAATATTTTAAGAGAATTTTATTTTTGTGGTTTCAAATTGTTACAAATTGGTTACTAATTTTTTAGTATGGTTCGACCACGAAATGTTGAATACGGGGTGCCAGACTGACGTCAGCCCGGTACTCCAAAATGGAAACACAAATTTTGGGGTTAAGACTTAAATTAGAAATTCTGGTGTTGTGGTTACGAATTGGTTACTAATTTTAGATTCTGAGTGAAACGATGAATGTATTGATTTTACAATGATGTGTGTTTTTTTATTTTTTTGTGTCTTTGTACACGATAAGTAGTCGAAATAATGCTTCGATTTTCGACTTCAGTATCTTGTTCGATTGGAAAGTGAATATCGTTGGTGCATTGGGGAGGTCAAAATTTAAATTTCCCAGTAGTTTTCACAAGCGCCGGGAAAAACAACATAAAAATTAAGGAAAAACGGGAATTTTTACGCAAAATTGATTTTCCAAAAAATCGATTTTGGTTATTGGTGTAACTCTAAAACAAATGAACGTATATACATGAAATTTTCACTGGTTGTTTATATTTGCATTTTCTATACACGATAACATTTTCAAAATATTTTGATTTATTTTGAACTGTTTAGGGACATTTTC